ATTCATAGGGTCGCTATGAGTTGCCTACAACTCAACAGCACTTACTGACAACAACAACATAGAGAGAGCTCAGTTGGCCTAGTGAACAGAAAGTGATGTTACCAAGTCAAAGGTGGGTTGACTTTATTCAGTGGCCTTCAGGCCTGCTGTTAATTGGTTTTGGTCAAACATTCTTCTAGGTCATATAGCCCTGGTCTGTCCACTTGCCATACAGAGGTAATTTGTGGTGGCTATGAGGCTGAACACTGTGACACTGATGTGTCGAATATGAGAATGGTTACCCATGGTGGACAGTGTTTGGTGGAGGTTTCCGATTCAAACAAGCTTAGAAGCAGGAGTGGCATCCACTTCTGAAATAGCTTATCTCTGGAAACTCTATGAACCTGGAGAAAGGATGAAAATTATACAAGTGTTCAGGTCTTTTGTTCACAGGGTTACTATGAGTTGCTGTTGACTCGATGGCACTTAACAACAACAATAACAGTATCAGAGTGCTCCTTGGAAGCAAAGATAGTGAAGCTTCATCATGTATTTTGGACATGCAGCTAAGCAAGGTGAGTCCTTGAAAAAGTACATCATGCTTGGAAAGATAGAGGGTTGGTGAAGGATAGAAAAACCCACAATGAGATGGATTGACATGATGACTTTAGCAATGGGTTCAAGTGTGTCAGAATATTGAGGGTGGCACAGCATAGGGCAGGGTTCAGGTGGGTTTTTCATAAGGTCACTGTGAGTCATAATTAATGCAATGGCATTTAATAACAACACATCCTTTAACATCATTTTGTCTTGGTTTTTTAAAAAAATCTATATATAGAGATATATAGGAATAGATATATGTGTGTGTAGACATGTAAGCATAAGAACAAAGTAGAGACAGCTTTATGCCAAATCATTAACTTATAGGATTGGGATGATGTTGTTATGTGCCGCTGAGTCAGAACAGACTCATAGCTAACCCTCCAGCAGGTTTTTAAAGGCTATAATTTGCATGGGAAGAGATCACTCATCTTTCTCCCTCAGAGTACCTGATGGGTTTGAACCTTGTGCCTTTGGGTTATCAGTGCAACTCCTTACCCTTTGGCCACTGGAGCTCCCTCCCTCCTGAGGTAATGGGAGGGTCATTTCTCTTCCCATTTCACTTCATATGTCTTATTGAAAAGAGAGATAGAAATGGAATGAATTGTTTTCTTGCTGTGCTATTCTGTACTTTCCAATACATCTATAAGGATAAGCATTGCTTTGACAATTACAGGAGATGCACCTCTCTGGGGGTTTGAATTCACCAGTGGCTCCAAGAGAGAAAGAGAGGGCACAATCTCTTCCTATGTGATTCATAGCCTCAGAAACCCAGTGAAAAGTCAGCCATGACGCAGTTTTGACTCAATAGCAATGAGTTGAGTATTTTTGAGTTTCCAAGAAAGGAACCCTATTGATACAGAGGTTAAAGTGCCATTCTACAGAGTGCTCTGGTGGCTTACTGGGAAGGAATTGTGCTTCCAACACAGAATTACATGATTCAAACCCACTCATTGCTCCAAGAGAGAAAGATGGGCGTCTTCTATCATGGGATTTACTGCCTCTGAAAACTCTCTGGCCGGTCAGCTATGAGTCAGTTCTGACTCAACAGTACACAACAACAACAACAACTACTAAACAGAAGAAAAAAATGTGAAAAAAAATTTTAAAATGAAGGAAAAAAAGATGTAACTGTCTGCTCCCATAATAATTTACAGTCTTTGGGGGGAAATATATGTTGTTTTGATTGTTATGTGCCATCAAGTCACCATAGCGAACCTATGTATGTACAGTAGCTCTGAACTCTGTTCTATCCTGAGCCAGTCTCACTGACTCCAACACACATATCCCATTACCTCAGTCACTGAATCAGTCCATCTCATCCAGGGTCTTCCTCTCTTGTGCTGTCCTTCTATCCTTCCAAGCATGATGTCCTTCTCCAAGAATTGGTTTCTCCTGGCCACATACCCTAAGTATATGAGATGGAGCTTCAAAATCCCAGCCTCTAAGGAACAATCTGGTTTCACCCTCTCCAAGGCAGACCTGTTTGATGTCTTGGTGGTCCATGGTATGTTCAAGATTCTTCTTCTGCACCGCGACTCAAAGGCATTGATTCTTCTTCTGTCATCCTTAGTCATTGTCCAGCTCTCTGATGCATAGCAAGCAGATGAGAACAACATGGCCTGAATCAGGCTCACCTTAATCTCTGAATGCTAATACTATTAAAATGATGTCTTAGACTGACATCATTGCTCTTTAGCACTTTGGTGAGGTCCCGGACAGTAGATTTCCCCAATGCAGTTTGTCTTTTGATTTCCTGACTGCTGGTGCCTAGAGTGTTGATTATGGAGCCAAGTAAGCTGAAAACGTTAAAAGTCTCAATCTCTTCTCCATCCATCATGGTGCTGCCAATTGACCTAGTGGTTTTGGTTGTAAGAAAAAAAATGTTTGTTTGCTTTCTGATTTTGTTTTTTTTTTCTTAATAAACTTTTTTAGTTGATATTTTAAATAAAGTTTATAAAGTTCATTTTTGCACATTTTCCTCCCTGCCCCCCTTCCCCAGATTACTTATTTATTTCAGAAAAAAGTTATTTCATTGTTATAAAATCCCCCCACCCCACACCCTGCCTCAGATCACTTTACTATGCAGCTCTTATTCTGGACTCTTACCCTGCCAATAATGTTGTTGTTGTTGTTATGTGCCGTAGAGTCGCTTGCGACTCAAAGCGACCCTATGTACAATAGCCCTAAACCGTGCTCTATCCTGTGCCAGTCGCACTGCCTCTGACACACCCATCCCGATTATCCCAGTCACTGAATCAATCCACCTCATGGAGGGTCTTCCCCTCCTGCGCTGTCCCTCTACCCTCCCAAGCATGATGTCCCTCTCCAAGGACCTGTCCCTCCTTACAACATGCCCAAAGTATGTCAGACGAAGACCCAGAATCCTTAACTCCAAGGAGTTGCTTGGTTTAACCCTCTCCAGGATGAATCTGTTTGTTTTCTTGGCAGTCCATGGTACATTGAGTACTCTTCTCCAGCACCACAGCTCAAAGGCATTATTTCTCCTTCTCTCCTCCCTAGTCATTGTCCAACTCTCTGATGCATAACAAGTGATTGCAAAGGCCATGGCCTGTATCAGACGCACCTTAGTCTCCAGAGACACACCGTTGCTCTTGAGTACTCTAGAGAGATCCCTAACAGCACATTTTCCCATCACAATACCTTTTTTTATTTCCTGGCTGCTGGTGCCAAGAGTATTGACCGTGGAGCCGAGCAAACTGAAGCTGTGAACAATCTTAATCTCTTTGCCAATGCTACCAGTTGGTCCAGTGGTGAGAATCTTTGTCTTCTTGACATTGAGCCTCAGTCCATACTGAAGGCTGCAGTCCTTGACCCTCTGCAGTAAGTGCATGAGGTCCTCCTCAGTTTCAGCAAGCAGGGTTGTGTCATCTGCATAATGCAGATTGTTAATAGATTTTCCACCAATCCTGATGCCACAATTCTCCTCATAGAGCCCAGCCTCTCGGATAATCTGCTCTTCTCTGCCTCATTTGTTTCAATGCTATGTATATTATTTATCCCCTCTTTTTTTCGTTTTCCCCCAGCCTCCATGTCTGTCCCATTTTATAACAGTGGCATTAAGCTGTATTTGTCTTTTTGTGACTGAGATACTTCACATAATGTTCTCCATGGTCACCCATTTTGTATAATACTTCATGAGTTCCTTGTTTTTCAATGCAGCGTAGTATTCCATTGTGTGAATTTACCACAGCTTCTCTATCCATTCGTTTGTTGATGGACACTTGGGCTGTTTCCAATTATTTGATATTGTGAACAAAGCAGCAATAAACATGGGTGTGCATATATCTGCTTGGGTAGCAGTTCTGGCTTCTTTTGTTTGCTTTCTGTTTTTAAACCTTGACAACATTTGCAATGATATTTAGCTTTATAAGTAAATAGGTTCAAAGAACACAGAACCCATGAAAGTCTGCACTGAAGCCCCTCTATTGTCTTGCTGCACATTATTTGACAAGAGATAGGCCAAGATAACTCTAGACTTTGCCTCAACCTTTCTGTTCAGAAACAGCCAGTACTTGCCCTTGGTGTCTGATTGAAGAAGAATATGGCAACATCCACCTGCAATATGCAGATGATACAACCTTGGAGGAGAAAATAAAAGAGGATAGAAGTATTTACTGATGAAATTAAAAAACTACATATATAGTCTTCAGTATGAATTACATTTTAACATGAAGGAAGCAAAAGTCCTCACAACTGGACTAATAGGCAACTTCATGATAAATGGAGAAAAATTTAACATTGTTAATTACTTAATTTTACTTGGATTCACTGTTGGAATGGCCATAGAAGCAGCAGTCAAGAAATCAATTGGCTCCGTAACAATAGCAAAGTTCAACAGGACAACAAACAACCGATGATGCTAGCCAGGCTGTGGAGAGATTGGATCCCTTATTCACTGCTGGTGGGAATGTGAAACGGTGCAAACACTATGGAAGGTGGTCTGACACTTTCTCAAAAAGTTGGAAATAGAAATACAATTTGACTCAGTAATTCCACTACTGGGAATATACCCTAAAGAAACCGGAGCCACAACTGAAATAGATGTATGCACACCCATTTATTGCTATGTTATTTAAAATAGCAAAAAGATGGAAATAGCCCAAATGCCCCACAACAAACTACTGGATTGAAAATCAATGGTACATTCACACAATGGAATATTATGCAGCATTAAAAACAACAAACTAATAAAGGATTACAACACGTGAGTGAACCTGGAGGACATTATGCTGAGTGAAATATCTCAGTCACAAGAGGACAAATATGGAAAAACTTTATAAACCCTCTCAGAGCCCAAGCAGTGTGAAGATGTGGCGAGAACCACCCCTGGATCGGTCTAAGCCCTTGCGTTGCCACAACCCCAAGTCCAGAGCCTGTGTCCCGCCACCGTTGCCATCATGCCCAAGAGAAAGGCTGAAGGCAATGTTAAGGGAGATAAAGCCAAGGTGAAGGACAAGCCACAGAAGAGATCTGCAAAGTTATCTGCTAAACTTGGTCCTTCAAAGCCAAAGCCCAAGCTTAAAAAGGCAAAGAAGGGAGAAAATGTACCCAAAGGGGAAAAGAGAAAGGCTGATACTGGCAAGGACAGGAATAACCCTGCAGAAAATGGAGATGCCAAGACAGACCAGGCACAGAAAGCTGAAGGTGCTGGAGATGCCAAGTGAAGTGTATGCGTTTTTTTATAACTGTGTACTTCTAGTGACCTTTTGGACCTGATCCCCCCAAGAAACTGATTACCATTTTGTCAGGAAACCTGGACTTTTCTGATGACATCTGAGTAGCATTTCTCAAAAGAGCGACGGTTCCTTTTTTTTTTTTTTCCCTTTAAAGACTGTGGATCTTCAGATTGGTAATTCTGTTTGTTTCATATTTCTGAAAGTCAGTGTCGACTTGTGAAAAGTTGTTAAACAACATGCTAAATGTAAAATGTCAACCCTCACTCTAAATTTTCCCTGTTCAGAGCATCAAATGAAGATTTCATTGGGTTTTATCGTGGCTTTCTGGTTTTGGTAGTCCATTGAAGAAGGGAATTTGAAAGTTGTATACTGTTAACGATTGTCTGCCCATGGCCTGCCTGAAATACCATGATTGTTCTTAGAGAGATGCAAATCAAAACAACTATGAGATATCATCTCACCCCAGTAAGAATAGCAAAACTTAGCAGAGCAGCAAACAACAAATGCTGGCGAGGTTCCAGAGAAACTGGAACCTTTATTCACTGTTGGTGGGAGTGTAAAATGGTGCAACCACTGTGGAAGGCAGTATGGCCCTTTCTCAAAAAGTTGGAAATAGAAATACCATTTGACCCAGCAATTCCACTACTGGGAATATACCCTAAAGAAACCATAACTGTCACCCAGGCAGATATATGCATACCCATGTTTATTGCTGCTTTGTTCACAATAGCGAAGAGTTGGAAACAACCTAAGTGCCCATAAACAAACAAATAGATAAGAGAAGCTCTGGTATATTCACACAATGGAATAGCAATGAAAAACAAGGAACTCATGCAATAATATTCAAAATGGGTGACCTTGGAGGACATTATGCTGAGTGAAATATCTCACTCACAAAAGGACAAATACTGCATAGTGCTACTGTTGTAGAACTGGACTGACATCAGGCTTGGGGTTAGACTGAGAAATTCTGGATAAATTATGTATACTGCATAGAAACAGATGAGGGAGAGAACAGTTATAAGCAATATATGATTGGGTATTATGGTTATGACAAGAGTCCAGATGAAGGTTACATAGTGGAATGTACTCAGGCAGAGTTGGAGCTGGGCTGGGAATTGTATACCGATGAAGGAATTTTTCTTTTACTTTTCAAAGAGAAGAGTTAACTGAGTGGGCAGGAAGAAAAATGCAACAATGAATGAATGGAAATCCAAAATCTCTGTAAATGTTCATTAAAATTAATAAAATAAAATTTTGAAAAAGTATCTTTAATAAAGCTGGTTATAATTTGGTTTGGAAAAAAACCAAAACAAATACTGCATACAACACTGCTGTTCTAAAATAGGAAAGAAGGGATGGGGGTAGAGAATGGGAAAAGAGTGGATAGATAATGAACACTGCAGTAGAACAGAGAGAGGAAGAACTGTCCAAAAGGAATATACAATTAGGCATTATATGGATGACGACAATCTGGAACAAGGGGTGCATTTCTGGATGGGTTATGAAAGGAGTATGGAAGGGGGATGAAAATAACAAAAGAAAATATAAATAAACAATAAGTATTAAAGAATAAATCAATTGACATATTGCATTGGGAAATCTACTACCAAGAACCTCTTTAAAGTGCTAAAGGATGTCACTTTAAAGACTATTTAAAGTGACTAGGCCATGATATTTTCTTTCTTTTTTTTTTAATTTTTGACATTTTTAATAGATTTTTTTAAGGTTTCCAGTCATTCACTGTTGCACTTTTCTCCCTACTCACACCCTCCCCCCCAATTCACTCTTCTCCTTTAAAAAAACCTCTTTTTTCATTGTGCAATCCCTCCCCACCAAGTCCACTCCACTGTGCAGGCTTCATTCTGGACTTCTGTAATGACAAGAATACCCATTCATATGTCCATTTTAAACAGTTATCTCCCTCATCTGTTTCAGTGCAGTATACATCATTCCTCCCCTCCTTTTCCGTCTTCCCTCAACCCTGATGTCAATCCTGTTTTACAACAGGCCCTATGCAATATTTGTCCTTTTTTGACTGAGATATTTCACTCAGCATAATGTCCTCCAAGGTCATCCATTTTGCATAATATTTCATGAGTTCTTTGATTTTCAATGCTGCACAGTATCCCATTGAAAACACAATTTCTTAATTAAAGTTCTGTTATCTGTTCATCAGTCAAATCCAAGTCATCAAGCTAGATTTGGCTCAGAGCAGTAATACGTCAGCTTCTCCTTCAATCATCTAGCAAGAACAACAAAACATTTAACTGTAGTCTTTAACTCAGGACTCCTCTGGTTAGACCTTGTCATGTTTCTCCACAGCAATGCCACAGTCTCTACTACTATCACCAGGGTCTCGTCATCAGATTCTGACTCTTACCAGGGTCTTGCTTGTGTCTCCCTCAAGTCTTGATATCCAGTCTAGATGGCACTCTTTCTCTTCCCCCGCCCCCAGAAAGTTGGTTTTAATTATCCCCTTGCCACAGTGCTTGTCAAAACCAGTTCTGATTAATCTCCTTTGTCAGTGTGTCCTTTGCCATTCCCTATCACTCCTCCCTGAGATATTCATAAGGAAAAGGGGATGGCGTATTCTCTTAGCTAGCTCCTGCTGAAGAGGGATGCTGTAGGTTTAAGAGTGAAGATCTTCTCTCACTACTCTAAAGGGCCCCTTTGGCAATAGAAAACATGTAGACGATTGTGGAGATTAATTTTGGAATTTAGATACACTGTTATCAATGTGCTTAGCCATACATATTCATTTCCTTGAAGATGCATCATGGAACTGTTGCAGTCTAGAAGATACAATTTTAACTAACAAGTTAAAAGTACATGAGTCAAAAAGTAAAAGCAATAATATTCCAAGTAGAGGTTCTAACAGTGGCAGAAATCAAGTTACAGAGGGAGGGTAGTTCTTAAAATAAAAGGCTTATTGACTAGCACTTTGTCTATTATAGTATAAAGGTTAGGAAACACAAGATGTAGAGGCACAACTATATCATTTATTCTTCTTAAGTCCTGGACCAAATTCCATGTACCACTGGGTTGTTTTACAGCTCAGAAGTCCACATGCAAGGCAGAGGTGAAGTAAGGGACTGCTTATGAGGTTTTCCGTCAATTCCAACAACTAAGAAATAGTGAGAAGAGTTGGGACCTCAGAAGGCTTTTAGGACCAAATAATAGGCTCTTGTGTCCAGGAGAAAATGAATATACTTACTAGTAATGTTAATGCTCACCCACGGCTCTTCTGGGAGGATCTGAATCGTTAAAGTGCAGGCCATGGTATTTTCAATTGCTTTATATGCATGTGGGAGTTGGGCAATGAATAAGGAAAACCAAAGGAGAATCAGTCTTTGCATTGTTGCAATGGGGAAGTATATTGACTGTATCAAGATTTCTTAAAAAAACCAAAACCAAAAAACCCCAAACACAAGCCAATCTGTGTTGGAAGAAATGAAGCCTGAGTGCTCTTAGAAGCAAAGGTACTAAGACTTCATCTCACATACTTTGAGCATGTTATCAGGAGGTGCCATTCCTTGGAAGGGGATATCATTCTTGGAAAAATTGAGTCAGAAGGAGCAGAAGCCCCTTAACAAGATGAATTGACAAAGTGACTGCAATAATGGGTTTAGGCACAGCACAGATTGTGCAGATGTATGGGATGGGGCAAGATTTTGATAGAGTTGCTGTGGGTCCGAGACAATTTGGCAGCACCTCACAGCAACAGGGAGAATCATTGCTAGAATTTTCGTAGATCCCATACAGCAGTATACATTTTCATCTGCTGTGGGGGCTTTCCATGTGGATTGTTGTTGTTGTTGTCGATTGCCTTTGAGTCGAGCATGACTCATAGCGATCCTATGAACAAAAGGCTTGAAGGCCCTCTACACCTATCAATATTTATCAAAGTTCATAGGGTTTCTGGAGGCATGTTATTTAGGAAGTTAATTACATCTCAAAGAAAACAAAAATTTTCATAACTGGAAAAATAAGCAAGATCTTGATAAACAGAGAAAGGAAGATAGTGAAAGAAAGACTGAGGTGGGGGAAGGTGTAGGGTGAAAGTTGAAATAAGAAGGGGCTGGAGGCTTAAGAAGTGTAATTGTTGGAGCCGCCCAGGACCGAGAATGAGCGAGGGAGAAAGGATGAGTGAGTGGATAAGATGTCTGTGTGGAAGCTGACCAAGAGCCTGGTGCCCAGGAGGGGTCCAGCCCTTGTGTGTGAGAGAGAACACATTGAGGGAGAAGTGGGACCTCTAGCTGGAAAGGCACAGAAGCAGGCCATACATTTGTTGAATTATTTACTGAGCTCCTACTGTGTGCCTGGTGAGAGAGGCAGCATCCATCTGCCATCCTGAGCTTAGAGTTCCAAATGGGAGAAGGGCCTATGGAAGACCAGCTACTAAATAAGCACAATCATTTAAATAGTGACGTAATTGCTAAAGTCATGAGAAGGGATGATGTGCTAGAGACTTGGAGCATTGCAGGGAAAAGAGGAGTGAGGCTGAGTATTTTAGCAGAGAGACAGGGTGGTGGCATTTCTGCCTCCCCATATGCTTCCTAAATGGGGCCTGAGTTGGTTGGGGTCAAGAGTTTCTGGTGGGAGTGTGCAAAGGGGAAGTCGCTGATGCCCCACTCCTCCTGCAGAGGCTGCGGGGTGAGATCTCTGACTGTTTTCTCCATCTGCTAGAACATTTCTCAGGCCTGCAGTGAGAAAGCCAGACCTCGGGTGCCCTGGGAGGATGTCCTACCAGAATCACAGACTTTGAGTCTATGGTTTGAATAAGAGTTCTTTTTCTCTGCCCAGACTCTATTTTTGTTAGACTCCTGATTTTGCATCAGAAGCCTCTCAGGATCTGTGTGTGCTCACCCTGAACAGGAAACTTGTGTGTCTCTCTTCCGAGTCCCTGGCATTGCTAATGGTTAACATGCCCAGCCATGTGTTAACTGAAAGATGGAGGTCACTGTAGAAGAAAGACTAGTCTGCAA